TCTGAGGACCTAGCCTTTATCACATGGGAGTTTGGGGGACATTTAACATTCAAACTGTAGAAGATGCTAACCTGAACATAAAAATTGAAGACTTTGGTATCAATAGTCTGTTTACTTATGCAAAAAAGCTTTTATTTATTTTTATTTATTTATTTTTATTGATTCTTTTTTTTTAAATACGCGACGACAGTGGAATGCATTACAATCCTTATTACACATATAGAGCACAATTTTTCATATCTCTGTATATAAAGTATGTTCACGTTAATTTATGCCATTATACGTGTACTTTTTTTTTGCATTACAATTCTTAAAACACATATATACCACAATTTTTCATATCTCTGTTTGTATATAAGGTATATTGACACCCAATTCAAGTCTTCATACGTGTACTTTGTATAATGATGACTGTCACATTCCACCATCCTTGCTAATCCCCTTCCCCCTCCCTTTCCCTCCTACCCCTCTTCCCTGTCTAGAATTAATCTAATCCTCCCATGCTCTCCCTTCCTACCCCACTATGAGTCAGAGAAAACATTGGCATTTGTTTTTTTGGGATTGGCTGACTTCACTTAGCATTATCTTCTCCAGCGCCATCCATTTACCTGCAAATGTCATGATTTTGTTCTTTTTTAATGCTGAGTTATATTCCATTGTGTATAAATGCACGTTTTTTTTTTTTTATCCATTCACCCACTGAAGGACATCTTGGTTGGCTCCACAGTTTAGCTATTGTGAGTTATGCTGCTATAAACATTGATGTGGCTGTGTCCCTGTAGTATGCTGTTTTTAAGTCCTTTGGGTATAGTCCGAGAAGAGGAATAGCTTGGTCGAATGATGGTTCCATTCCCAGATTTCCAAGGAATCTCCATACTGCTTTCCAAATTGGCTGTATCAATTTGCAGTCCCACCAGAAATGTATGAAGTGTCCTTTTCCCCCACATCCTCGGCAGCACTTTTTGTTTGTCTTCATAAGAGCTGCCATTCTGACTGGAGTGAGATGATATCTTAGAGTAATTTTGATTAGCATTTCTCTGATTGCTAGAGATGATGAGCATTTTTTCATATATTTGTTGATTGATTGACTATCCTCTTCTGAGAACTGTCTGTTCAGGTCCTTGGCCCATTTATTGATTGGGTTAGTTGTTTTTTTGGTGCTTAGCTTCTTGAGTTCTTTATATACCCTAGAGATTAGTGCTCTATCTGATGTGTGAGAAGTACAAATTTGCTCCCAGAATATAGGCTCTCTGTTCACCTCACAGATTGTTTCTTTTGCTGAGAAAAAAAATCTTTTTCGTTTGAATCCATCCCATTTATTGATTCTTGTTTTTAATTCTTGTGCTATAGGGGTCTTATTAAGGAAGTTGGGGCCTAATCCCACATGATGAAGATTAGGGCCTACTTTTTCTTCTATTAGACACAGAGTCTCTGGTTCAATTCCTAGGTCCATGATCCATTTTGAGTTAAGTTTTGTGCATGGTGAGAGATAGGAGTTCAATTTCATTTTGTTGCATATGGATTTCTAATTTTCTCAGCACCATTTGTTGAAGATGCTATCTTTTCTCCAGTGCATGTTTTTGGCACTTTTGTCTAATATAAGATAATTGTAATTTTGTGGGTTAGTCTTTGTGTTCTCTGTTCTGTACCATTGGTCTACTGGCCTGTTTTGGTGCCAATGCCATGCTGTATTTGTTACTATTGCTCTGTAGTATAGTTTAAGGTCTGGTATAGCGAAACTACCTGCTTCGCTCTTCCTGCTTAGAATTGCTTTAGCTATTCTGGGTCTCTTATTTTTCTAGATGAATTTCATGTTTGCTTTTTCTATTTTTATGAGGAATGCCATTGGGATTTTGATTGGAATTGCATTAAACCTGTATAGTGCTTTTGGTAGTATGGTCATTTTGATAATATTAATTCTGCCAATCCATGAGCAAGGTAGATCTTTCTATCTTCTATGGTCTTTGAATTCTCTCTTTAGGGTTCTGTAGTTTTCATTGTATAGATCTTTCACCTCTTTTGTTAAGTTGATTCCCAAATATCTTATTTTTTTGAGGATATTGTGAATGGGGTAGTTTTCCTCATTTCCTTCTCAGAGGATTTGTCACTGATATACAGAAATGCCTTTGATTTATGGGTGTTGATTTTGTATCCTGCTACTTTGCTGAATTCATTTACTAGTTCTAGACGTTTTTTGGTGGCGTTTTTTGGGTCTTCTAGTTATAGAATCATATCGTCAGCAAATAATTCTAGTTTAAGTTCTTCTTTTCCTATACTTATTCCTTTAATTTCTTTTGTCTGTCTAATTGCTCTGGCCAGTGTTTCAAGAACTATGTTGAATAGAAGTGGTGGAAGAGGGCATCCCTGTCTTGTTGCAGATTTTAGAGGGAATGCCTTCAATTTTTCTCCCTTTAGAATGATGTTGGCCTGAGGCTTAGCATAGATAGCCTTTACAGTATGGAGATATGTTCCTGTTATCCCTAGTTTTTCTAGTGTTTTGAACATAAAGGGGTGCTGTATTTTGTCAAATGCTTTTTCTGCGTCTATTGAGATGATAATATGATTCTTATCTTTAAGTCTATTGATGTGATGAATTACATTTATTGATTAAATCACCGAATGTTGAACCAACCTTACATCCCTGGGATGAATCCCACTTGATTATGGTGCACAATCTTTTTGATATGCTTTTGTATTCGATTTGCCAGAATTTTATTGAGGATTTTTGCATCTATGTTCATTAGAGATATTGGTCTGAAGTTTTCTTTCTTTGAAGTGTCTTTGTCTGGTTTTGGAATCAGTGTGATATTGGCCTTATAGAATGAGTTTGGAAGTACTCCCTCTTTTTCTATTTCCTGAAATAAATTGAAGAGTATTGGTATTAGTTCTTGCAAACAAGCTTTTATGGCAGCCCTCTTTATGCTACTCCAGAATTATTAAAGGTCCAAAAGTACAATGGCTTTATGGTAGATGTGGAGAGCCTAGGAGTCATCACTGGATACTGCCTTTTAATGGGTAGAACATTGCATAAACAGGTGTAAGAGGATTACTTTTTATGTGTCTGTGGAATTCCTAATCTTTAACACCAGTGAGAGAGGCACTTTATTTATTTGGTTCTGGAGTTTGAATCTAGGGTGCTTTATCACTGAGATACATCATTAATGTTTTTATTTTTTGTGCTATGGTCTCCACTAAGTTGCCAGGGCTGTCCTTGAACTTGTACTTTTCTGCTTCAGCCTCCTGAGTTGCTAGGATTCCAGGCATGCTCTATCATGCCCAGCTCGAGAGATGCACTTTAGGGGAAATCCTGAGGGACCTATGGGCAAATATGGGCCATAAAGTAGAACTAAAGCTTTACATCAATTCACTTCCTGACTACCATGACCTCCAGCCTGACTGAGTTGATGCTGTGCATGGGCTATGAATGGAATGAGATTCAGGACTCATTTGTGGGCCAGGAATAAGATGAAGCCGGCTGTCAACTTTGGGACTGTGACACCTCAGCTGGAGTGGCCCACCACACCATGAAGCACCTGCCTTCTGCTGATCTTCAAAATTACTGCTGTCCTTCTTTACATTCAAGGTAGACCGTACAGTCTCTGTAGCCCTAAGCAACAAGCCTGCCATCCCTACCTTTATTTGGTTCTATAATAGGAAATTAGCATCTTTGGGAGGACTGGGAGTTAGGGTGGGAGGTCAACACCACAGACTTCCTGATAGTCCCTTCTTTGATCTAGAGATGAAGACTACCCACCCCCAGCAGTCTCCCAGCCCTGTGACTGTCCCTTCCACTCATAGCACCCTCAGCAGTGTTGGAGCCTCTGGTAATACCAGTTGTGCTCAAGGTTTATCTTTCAAAAGAAACCTCTTCCCTGCTGGACAACTCTGATCAGGACCAGTAGAACTTTCTGGAAGGTATGCCTCTAACTTTTTCCTCTCACAGCAATGACTAGCAGGGGGCCACCTTCATCCACAGACACTTTAGTAGTGAAGAAAAGCTCAATAGGTTTGGTATATAAAGATTCATTATTTCATTATTTCCTAAGGGTAAAGAGCACTATAAACTTCAGGAGATGTTTATAAGGACAAAGGGCTAATATTCTTATGAGAGATCTTAAACATCAACAAACATAAGCTTCATAAAAAGAGGCGAAGACCATGAAGGTAGAATTCGCACACTTAAAATGCAGAATGAACCCATTTATTTTACCCATGACATTACTGTATATAAAATGAATTGTGCTGATGGGAGGTTGTGTTGTTAGAGCTTTCTACATGCCAGTTTGGTGGTAGTCAAATTTTAAATGTGTATCTTTAGTTCTCTTTGAATTTAATGCAAGGAAATAGTTGGGAAAATGGACAAAAATATTTTGTACAAAAATGTTCATTGTTTTGTGTTATTGTAGGAAAAAAATTGAAAATCATCTAAATGTCAGTTGTAGAATAAGTGATCATATAATAAAAAACCAAGTAGCCATGAAAATGACGTAAATTTGTGTTTTAACAACATGGAAGTATGCCCATTATCTATTTACGTGTAAAAATCAGGTTGTAAAGTGTATGTCTAGTATGGTATAATTTTTTTTTTTTTTTTTAATAAGAGAACACTATGTGTGTCCTGATTTGAAGAAGACAGTACTGGGTATAAGCCAAAAAAGATCAAAAAGGGCCTAGTTATGAGTGATGCTTTTAATTCTCCTCATACTATATAGAATTTTCATTAAGTTTATGCAATGGAAAACTATCCTTTTTATACCCAGAGTGGGAACAGTGAAGTTTTTTTGTAAGAGAGGCAGTAGAAGACAGGTGAGAACGGCCAGGGAGGCCCCCTTTGGTAGCTCTACACCAAAGGGGTCTGTAGGTAGGCGGAACCCAGTGCATGCTCTGCTAGAGGCAGGAGGGAGGGCGGGCAAGTGGTTGCACCTGGGGAACCGGAAAAGGGTGCAGCCATAGGCGTCTCTCTTTGGAAAGCGCAGTGGCTACTCTCTTCACCCGGCAGCATGAAGTTTCGTGCCAAGATCACCAACAAGGGCTTTATAGAGCTCTTCATTCAGGTCAGTGGCACCATAGCAAAGCTGGCAAAGGTCTGCGTGCTCTGTGTGTGCCAAGACAAACTGTGCTTTGGTCCCACAGGCCCCAGGGCCACCCGAGAGGCCAGGCTGTGGTGCAAAGTGATGCGGGGAGCCTCCTTCTACCAGTTTAACATGGAAGGTGTTTCTGAAGAGCTCAATGAGATTTATCTAGAGCTGATATCAGAGCATTTGTACAGAGCTGTGAGAAGTGCAGGAAATGCTGCCTCCCTGAAAATCCAGCTGACCAACAAGCGTCGCCCCTGCCTCACAGTGGCGGTAGAGCTGGCATCACGCACTGGGCACACCCATGTGATGGTCCATGATCTACCTGTGAGGGTGCTTCCCAGAAGATGGTGGAAAGAGTACCCAGAGCCCAGTATTCAAGTCTCTGATGTGAGTGTTTATCTGCCAGCTTTGAAGACCCTGAAGAGCATTGTGGAAAGGATGGCCAACATGGGCGATAACGTGCTGGTGGAAGCAAATCTAAATGGTAAAATGAACTTGAGTATAGAAACTGATGTAGTATCTATTAAAAGTTATTTTAAAAATCTTGGAAATCCTTTAAAGTCTGCTCATAGCGTGCCCCAAGACAGAGACCCGGAGAGCATGGTGCAAGTGCGAGTAGAGAATAGGAAACTTCTGCAGTTTTTTGAGGGACAGCAGATAAATCCCACAACGGCCTTATGCAATATTTTGAGCAATACTCTTCTTCATCTTGTTTTGGTTCATGAAGATGTCTCTCTTCAGTATTTCATTCCTGCCTTATAAAAAATTCAACCAGCCTGGATTAAAAACAACAACAAAATCACAAAATTTAGGATCTCTTCATAATTGAAATAGACCTTGAATTAATTCAATTGAGTCTGTACCCTCAGTGGATTATGAGGGTATATGTTTCATTGAGAGCTTCCTTTGCAAAATTGATATTAAAGACAATCATTGGTGAAATAGATGGAAAAGGGATTGTAACAAAATAAATGGAAATACCTCTAAATCCTAAAACAATTTTGTCATTATTATAAAATACTAATATGAAGAATGGTATTTTTCTCTTTTTAAAATAAAATAAACATTTTCTGAAAGACTTTGCTTAATCCAGAGAAGTCAGTATATTTAAAAATAAGGGTATTCATCCAGCATTTGTGTACATCACATTCTTTGTAAGAAACTGTATTTTGTTAAAGGAGATATTAGTGTACAGTTGGCCCTTGAATGGTAACTGTGTGGGTCCACTTATATGCAGATTTTTTTTTGTGTGTAGATTTGCAGCAATTTGAAAAATTCATAGAGGAGGTGCTTAGCCTAGAAATATATTAAAAAATGAGGAAGAAAATGTCACAAATACATAAAATATATGTAGATAAGTCTTTTATCTTTTAGCACCATAAAATATCCATGAATCTATTAGTTACAATGAATGAAAACTTACATGCATAGATACCATACATGGTCCCATTTGTAGTTGATAGAAATATAAAGCTGAAGTATTACAACTGTATAAAATCAACTCTAGTATATTTTGTATTACTGTAAATTTCATTTTAATCTCCTTTTTCTATTGGGAAGCTCAGAGTTATACACAGATTTTGCAGGGGTTGGCACTAATAACCCCCATATTGGTTAAATAGTCAACTGTATGTTATTTTTGGATGTATGATCTATATAGTTTGAATTGCTTTTTATTAGGTTTATTTTTCATATGTATTGTATTCATATAATGAATCAAGGAAATAAGTTTATGTGAACCAAGATGTTGCTTATGTAACTTTTGGATAAACCAAGTTTCCATTTGCTCCCCCATAGTAATGAGCTCCACTTAGGAAATAATTCTTCATCCTTCATTATTTTGAGAAAAAGGAGAGGAGCTTTAAAAGGTTGGTATATTGATGGAATAATATCACATAATTGGTCATATTCTTTTATATTAAATTTTAGTTTAATTTTTTTAGTAGCTTGCTCAGTAAGATCCTGTATACCTTGGAAGTCTTTATTTTTGCATACTCAGTAAATTCCTGACTATATTTTAATCAGAAATGAATATTTACACATTAGTTTTGGTGGTAAGACAGTTAAATTTGTTTTGCTGGTTCCATCTGTGTTGTTATGGAAGGAACACAAACATTGGACCTAGTCAAGTCAATTGAGCCCATTAATGTCTAAGCTGTGAAAAAATTGTTAAAAAGCCACTAAAAAAAATCCTCTTCTCTTATCAGAATTTTCATATACTTTAAACATGAAAGTGAAAAACAAATGTTTTAACATAGAAAATTCTAAGCTCTGAAGTTTTTTTTTCTGTTCTGTACCATAAACAGGACTTGCATTTATTTGTGGCATCTCTTCTTTCTTTTCTTGTTTTGGAGTGTTCAACTTTAGTTGTCATCTTTTATTTGACTGTTTCATCCTCTCTCCCCTCTGTTTTTCCATTAGACTGTCAGTCTCTCTTTCTGTTTCTTCCTTTTTATGTATTTAAAGAAACTGAGGGAAATGAGAAATCTCATGGTTTGTGAAGTTTAATTTGGTGAATTTTTATAATTTAGTAATTCATGAACAGAAAGTGTCTGTCAAAAGTTTTATAGCCTAGTCTATGCAGTGGAACTTTTGAAAAAGGGAAGGATAAGTTTTTTTTCAACTTGGGTTATTTACTAAGCTAGAGATAATTTGGTTATTTACTAAGCTAGATTATGGAAATAGCAAAAGGCCATCTAAATAGCTCTTGAAAGTTCACATCATTCTAATGGTAGTCAAAAAATTTTATAAATTATAAATTTAAAACAACAATGTTCTTATAGGTTTTTAGTTTGTGAAAAGCTAAGAAGGGTTCATTTCCATATTTATACATTAGTTATTGAGTTTAAATGCTTAATTCTATAAGACTCTATTAGAAACAGAAACCGAAAGATGCCTTAGAGATGATATCATCCAATCACCTTATTTGTAGTTGAGGAAACAGTTTCACAGAACATCAAAGTGACCAGGGGCGTTTGGCTAAGCCAAGATCTATTTTAGAAATCAGTCTCCAAACTCTTCATAGATCTTTATGTTTTGAGCTTATTCTATCAAGCCTTAAACAGTTTGGAAGTACTTATATTAAGATGAATCTATAGTACTTTGTGAATGTACCACTTACCTAAAAAGGCAAAATTACATTAAAACAATCTCAAATGTTTTTTGAAGAGTGTTGCCATATTGCTTTTGTTTGATGGTGTCTTTGTTTTTTCAGGGAGGAATGAAATTATTTGCCACAAAATGATACTTCTAGGTGGGTGCAGTGGTGCACGCATGTAATCTCAGTGGCTTGGGAAGCTGAGGCAGGAGGATTGCAAGTTCAAAGCCAGCCTCAGCAACTTCGTGAGGCGTTAAGCAATTTAGGGAGACCCTATCTCAAAAAATAAAATGGGTGAGGGATGTGGCTCAGTGGTTAAGCACCTCTGGGTCCAATTCCTGGTACCAAAAGAGAGGGTAAAAGATACTTATACAGAAAACAAGTCTCATATTAAAAAAAAAAAAACAAAAAACCAAGGCATCAGGTTTATAAATTATTTCAGCTTCTCTCATTTGTATCTTTCAGGGAGACACTACAACTGAAAAGCAAGGAAACACTGTGCCTTTTATGTTTCACTCTTATCTACAGAAAATAAATCATTGACAAAATGTATTAAAGTTCTTCTTTATATCCCAAAGTGGACATCTCAAATAAATATTATTGTCCTAGTAGATATCATTTGCTAAAAGCTGTAGTAAGCTTATCTACATAACAGACTTGTATTTCTTTTAATCGTTCTTGAGTGTATGTTTAGTATGTGAATAGGTTACCAATATCAAAAGAAATCAGACAAGTGTATGTTAGCTGATTCATTCCTATAAGGATGCTCCTAGTTCTGTTTATTCCAATTCAGGTCAGACAGTTGAAAAATACTTGGTAAATTAACATGATTCTTTTATGAGAGCAATAAGAAATTATTTATTTGTGATTTTAATAAAAACATTACATTTAATAAAAACATTACCTCGAGTGTAGTATATTTTTAACTGGAAGAGTGTTGAGAAATCTCTATTATTAATTCCACAAATAAAAGTGCATACTTCGGCAGGCAGTGGCTACAACAGTATAAAAAAGCATATTCTTGTATTTCTAAATTAAATAGCTTACTGATCTTCCTTAAAGTGTGATTTGTCCTTGGTTAAGGAAATAGGTGGTAAGGAAATAGATATTATTTTTGCATATGAACAGCTAGATTTTTACCTGCCTCCTAGTTTGTGTGTCTGGTATAGACCTATACTCTTCAAAGTAGATCACACTTTTTGATTCGTCACTCTCAGACATTATTATCATCATCATTATTATTTTCCCAGGTATTACTTTATTTTATTTGGATAAATTTTGAGGGTAAAGTAGTTAGGAATATGACCCTTGATAAATGACTGCAAATGGATTTTGAAAATTGAGAGTGAATTAGAAATGCTCTGTTAGTTTTTAGTTTTGCCTTGAGACCAGAGGTATTCTAATTTCACATCAGAATGAGCCAGAGCCACAGATTACTGAGAAACAGCCAAAGTTCTTATCTCATTTGTCATATATACAAAGGACCTCATGGTACACAAGGTAGTATAGAAGAGTGATATTAGACTCTTTGAATCAGGAAACCAAGGTCTGTTTTAAAGCTAATAAAGTGTGTGACTTTGTAAAGGTCATTTGACATCTCTGAGTTACATTTTCTTCAGATGACAAGACTAAATATTAATTGGATCAAGTCTCTTTTGACTCTGATTGTGTGAATACTAGCCTATACTCTTCTGTTAATCAAAACTGTCATTTTCAAAGATTGTTGTTAGTCTGATATTTCTAGTAATCACTAGTAATCATCTTTTCTATAATATTAATGTCACTGGAAATTACGGATAGTTGTCATACTACTGTTTCTCTGGAAACAAGGGGAACAGAGAATCTCTACTTGAAAATTTGGTTCTTTATGTGAACTAGACCAGATACTGAAAGTAATCCACTGAAGCCACATGCTTACCCAATTTGTGTTGTACAATTGAGGTCACAACTTAATAGTGCCAGCAAGATAATTAAATCACTACTCATTGAGGGCCTACTTTTCCATGCCAATTGAAGGAAGCATTTTCCTTTGTTCAGAGTTGGTTTGTAGGTATTAATTAATGAAGCAGGTTAATTATCCAACCTTTTCTTAGTATTTCCCTGCAGTTCTTGTAGTATCTTTGGGGCAACATAATGTCTATTTGTTTAAATGGTTGTTAGAACTTTGTGGCCAAATGTCTTTTCAGTTCCATGAAATTTTATTTTATTTTATTTTTTGTGCTGGGGATTGAACTCAGGTGCACTCAACCACTGAGCCACATCCCCAGCCTTATTTTGTATTTTATTTAGAAACAAGGTCTCAACTGAGTTGCTTAGTGCCTTGCTTTTTGCTGAGGCTGGCTTTGAACTCTCCATCCTCCTGTCTCGGCCTCCCGAGCCACTGGGATTACAGGTATCTGCCACCATGCCTGGCGAATTTTTTTAATATGTTACCTGAATTTCACATTTATCAATTTATAATAGTTCTCAGGCATGTACTCAAAACAAACTTTTCACTCTTCTCTGCATTTAGAAGCATGTTTAAAGGGTTAACAATAGAATGTCTCCTTAAAGGAATATTTATTTCTAAAGCTTTATGTAAGCTTAACTATTAAATCATCTAGTATGTCTATTATTTAAAATTAGTTTATTGAGCCAGGTACAGTGGCACATACCTGTAATCCCT